GACACTTGAACACATATTGACACTTGAACACATATTGACACTTGAACACATATTGACACTTGAACACATATTGACACTTGAACACATATTGACACTTGAACACATATTGACACTTGAACACATATTGACACATGAACACATTTTAACTGCAGATGCTTCGGGAGACTGCTCTCTTGGATTCAAATCAGCGTTTTCAGTGATACCATCCTGGTACCAAGTACCGACACAGCGTACGACGGTAGCATGATGGCTGCATGATGGTGTATTGTCATTTGAGTCAATTGACAGCATCATACTGAAGCTGGCAGTAGCTCCCCATTTCCTCTCCATCAAATTACTGATTTATTTATATTAAAACAAATAATAAAGTCACCGTAGCAGGGTCCCGAAGTTTTAAGCTGAGACGCATTATGAATAACGCACGAAGGAATACTATTATTAGAATAAACTTTCATGAAATATGGAATCTTTCTTTATCGTTGCAAAAAAAAGAGCTTATTTTCCCTATCCCGCGTTCTCAGAAAGTCCTCACCGACGTTTCCCTCCCTCCCGCTTCGTGGGATCAGGGTTTCGCGGGATCGAGGTTTCGTGGGATCGAGGTTTCTTGGGATCGAGGTTTCTTGGGATCGAGGTTTCGTGGGATCCAAGCCATGAGTTGCCACTTGACCTTTCCTTGAATCGAGGGCGGGGGCAGGAGGAAAGGCAAACCCGATTTCCTATAAATCGAGATGTAAATGTGGGCTGCAGATGCAGAAAGGAGGCTGACCCTTTTCAGGTGGATGCAGAAAGGAGGCTGACCCTTTTCAGGTGAAATTGAGAGCAAGTTCACCTCGACTGTAAATTGAGCTTGTGGGCTCAATTTATCGTCAAATTGACCAAAATTGGTGGAAGCATCTGATGAACACGTTGACCACGGGAAATGGGAGAGTTCTGTTCTGAATGCCCGTTAGGACGCAAATTGCAGTTCTGGATGCCCGTTAGGACGCAAACTGAATTGGCTCAGTCGCAAGGAGTGACAAAAAACTTGAAAAGTGTGACAATATAAAAAAAAATACATTTAAAAAACGCAGTCGCCCTATTTACAGAAGAAAATAGGAAGATACGAATGGAGAAAAATAAGACAAATTGGACAGAAGAAAAATATGCAAAACAATACGCAAAAAGCATTCTTATGAAGAAAATGCAAAAATGGGTTATGCTTTTAATCGACAAACAGTAATGAGGTACATCGGTTTTTAAAATTGCCTGAAAAGCGGAGAAAAATAAATAGAGTACTATAGTTTCTGTTAATAGAATGCTCCGGATTAATGAATAAATTTCGCTGGTGAGTCGACTGTAGCCTAAAAGTTGTTTGTTTTTAGCTTAAATAACTAAAGAAATGTTGTCAGCATTTCTTGGTGCCTGAATTTGCTTTTGTTTTGCATTTCGATTTTGCCATTTTGTGTCGTGTACTTTTTTTTTTTATTTGGCTGCATCTCTGCCGCAAGGAAAATTTTTGCTCATCGGGCCTCATTGAGGGAGTCCATGACCTTGACCACATTCTTGGTCCTTTAGGAAAATATTTTTTTTTTAGTGATACCGAAACAAAAAAAAGTCTATGACAATACTCAATAAGTCTATGACAATACTCAATAACTCCAGTGACCTTCGCAGATGCAATTTCTTAAAGCCTGGCACAAGTACTATTTCCCCAGTACATATGGTTCAGTTCCGCTTCGAGACCCTCAAAATGTCCCGACGATCATCACAGACCGGAAAAAATGTGTCAGCACACAAGTGAATTCTTCATCCTTTCTCTTTTCTTCCTTTTTTTTTCATTTCTCCTCCTTTTCTTCATTTCTCCTCCGCTAGGACGTCCTTGCGGAGTCGTAAAGATGAGAAATTGCCGGCGATAAAGAACGCCGAAGCGAGCCCATACCATCCATTAAGCGTTTCTCTTCATCCGAGCCGTATAAACACAATATGATGTCGGAGGTGCGACGGACCCAGAAACCCGAGCCAAAAAGACCTCGGAAATGGAAAAAGGTAGTTCTATTGCGTCAGCTTCGCATTGCAGGCCCTCAACCAGGATGCTACCCTCGATCAGGATGTTGCCCTCAAGCATGATGTTACCCTGAAGCCAGATGTTACGTAAGCCTCAGCAGTGTTTACTGTTGACACAAATGACTGCAAAAAGCTCGACGGAAGGTATATACTTTCTTGTATGGCATGCCGTTGCTCTCATCCCTTCTTCTTAAAATGCTCGAAAATTAAGCTTTTCTTCCGGAGTAGTATCAGTGGAGGAAATCCGTTTCCAATAAGGACGGAACCAATGCCCCTGCTACAAGCTACAGTCATGCGACTACTCCCAGCCCGCGGACTACCTCCAGCCCGGTGACTACCTTTAGACTGGTGTATACCTTCAGTCAGCACTTCGATCACGACTAACACAAGCCTCCTCTCGGGTGCTCGCATCTCGTATTCTCCCCATGCAGTGAAGACCTTCGCGACCCGACGCAACAGACGGCCGCATCGAACAGCAAATGCCCTGCACAAGGACGTCGCCAGGGACGACACAGCAGGAATCCTCTGCGTGGAGGCTCATAATGCTTCCAGGAATCTGTTGCACTTCCACCTCCTCCACGGAAATGGCAATTTAAAGTCCCGCTCACTTTGCAGTCGATAAGGCAACTTATTAACAAGCCAATTATCCACACAACCTGGAGTTCCGCTGAAAAACGCCGGCCGCAACTTTCAAGCGCATCCCGAGGAAAGGAAAAGAAAATAGAATATTCCCTAAAAGAATAGAAAATAGCAAGGTAGAAGAAAGTCTTTCCAGAATATTTTACGCTGAGCTCTTCGGATTAGCAGTCGGCAGCTGCGGATGATGGATTTTTAAGTATTACACATTCGGGAATCTGTTCGTGCCGAAAATCGAGTTTGGTACCTTTTATATGAATAAATTTACCGGTTGTGGTTTCTTACATTTTTAGTATTTAATTTCATGCATTTCGAAATAATTAATTAAATTGTTAAAAGTCTATTTCATTTCAGCTTACATTTTTCCAACCAGAGCTCAACCACGCGTCTTGAGGCTTATCGGCCGCAGAACCGCGGATAATCCACGGATGTGGATTATCCGCAAAATCTTATTTTTGAGGGAGCTGAGATCATGCTCGGCATGATAAGCAATATTGCTTTTTTCAAAGCTTAAGAACAATTAATTTCTGCCTTGCTTGATGATTCCCTTTGCCATTTTTTTCGTTAAAACAAAATTTCCAGGAAAAAAAATTTTTGCATCACAACTTAATAATAATAATAATTATTATATTTTAATTTGATTTTCAAGAAGGGTTATCGAAATAATATCCCACTTTCGGAGGAATCCGAGCTAAAAGCTTTCGACCCCTGGCCGGCATAAGTGCATTCCCTGAAGCCGGATTTCCTTCTTGTCTACATTGACAGGACGCGGAATTTGATTTAAACTCAATTCCAGGCCGTCCGCGAAGATTTCTTCCACCATTTCATCCCCGTGGCGGAAATTGGGCGATTGAGCAAGTCCCACATCGCGTTAGTGCCAGTCAACGCGGGCAGAACTCAGCACATCTCAGCATATCTCAACTTGCCATTCCGCGCATAGTGGCTTCAAAAATATGTCTGATGCCTCACGATGCCTCATGATGTCTCATGATACCTTATTATGCTTTATGGTGCTTTTACCTTTGCATGACGGTAATATATACTATTCTAGAAGTCGTGAGAAAATGGATTAAACATTTTTTATTCATCTTTTAAATAGTTAATAAACTTTCGTTGAAGTAGTCGGTTCTCAGAAACAAGAACGAAACTTCGAGCTTGGAGAGATCCTGCCGTCTTCTTAACGAAACATCCACCTGCATCCACCTGAACAGGCGGATTTACTCCTAAAGTGACATCCACCTGGACATCTCCAATAGAGCCTTTCTCGAATCCGGCTTCCCGCGCAGGCTTCTACCGATGACGTCACTGCGGCCAGTTCATGTCGGAATGGGCCCGGACCGGCCGTGACTCCTTCGTGAATCTCGTCAATCACGAACTTCGTGATGAAATGCGATACGATGAAATATGACGAACTTCGATTCCGGACTCGGTTCGAGTTCCTATAATTAGGGGGAATGTCTTGGGAGAATAACTGGTGACGCGTGCCGTGAAATGACTTTCTCCCTCGTTAAAAAAAATTTTTTCCCGAGACTTTCTCCGACGTCTGGCCGTGTTAAAGGCGGATCGGAACGAGAAATCCGCCATTATACGAGGCCGTGGCGGTCTAATTTCCACCCGCGCTTTGGAGTCATAAGCTTTGGAGTCTAGCAGAAGAAAGCGAGCGCGCGTGATTTATGCGGGTTGTAATGGGACGCTGTAATGGCCTTCATATCCTGTGCCCGACTCGGGGAATATTTCCTCGACAACGGCGCGATTAATCCCTCTGAAGGTATCGCCGGTATCGCCAGTGTTGCCGGTATCGCCAGTGTTGCCGGTATCGCCAGTGTTGCCGGTATCGCCAGTGTCGCCGGTATATGTATCCCTATTGTCGCTGGGGTTGCAGTCGGCGGGTTACGCCGAATCGATTCGGGATGCCCTTAATCCGGTTTCCCAACCGAAAGGGGGAAATCGGTCCTTCCGGGAAGAGATTCCGTAATTGCGGCGTTGTCTTCACCGGATCGTTCCAATTAAGAGCTGAATCCATGGAAACCGGATCCCGTTACTATGGGGAGCTGCATCCGACATAAACGCATCCCATGAGATCTGCACAGATTGAGAGGAAACGAGCGATTCCTTCCGCAGCTTCAAGTGCAGAAAAACGTGCAAACGTTCGCCGAATCGATTCGCTCCCGCGACAATACCTCCTTATTCCAAGCCGATAGCCGATAGCAGATAACCCTGTATGCTCACAAATGAGTCAAACTTCTTTCATGCCGAATTCCCTGAGTAAGCTCCGACCCCCTCGCTCAAAAATGGCACGCGAAATTGAAAATCGCACTCACCTCGCATCCTCCGCCCTCGTGAAGAGGATGACCCCCTTCGCCTGCGGCTTCCGCGTCAGCCGCTGGATGATCTCGTTGAAGATCGTGTCGTTCGCGTTGTGCGGGACCTTCTCGTTGACCGCGATGCAGATGTTCCGCTCCGCCGCCGCCTGGCGGAACGCCTCGATCCCGTCCTCCCCGTAGGAGCCCTCGGAGGAGACGGTCGACACGTACGACCAGTTGAACGACAGGAGGATGTCGACCAGCGCCATCGCCTGGTAGTTGTCCGGCGGCACGGTCCTGGCGAACAGGTCGAAGCGGGTCTTATCCGACAGGGTCTTCGCCGTCGAGGCGGGCGAGATCTGCGGGATCCCGAACAGCCGCAGCAGGTTCGCCACCTGTCGTTGCACGATGTCACCTTTTCAATTTTCCTACTTATTCGTAACAAAGTAAGTCTAGAATAAAGGGCGTGCAGTAAAGGTCACGAAGATTAGATTTCTTCGCAATTTTTCCTTCAGGCAAGAGGGAAATTTAAAAAAAAACTTTCATGTCGTTGAATGGAAGAGAATCGACACTTTACCCGAGAACTATCATGTAATATCATTTACTATCATGTAATTTTAAATTATGTTGTAGGTTCGCAGGTTTCCATCGTATAGGTACTATACGACAAAACAAAATGCAACATTATACTAATAAAAAAAAAAACACTTTTATTTATAGAATTGATGATAGTAAATATTATTATCAGCATAATCTCACCAAACTTTTTATGCACGAAATCGTGTTTAGCAATTTTAGCAATTTTCAGCTCATCTGCCAAAAATTGCCCCGTCAAGAAGCCAGTACTTGAAGGTATTGGCCTATTGAGGTGGTCATTACAGGTCGCAATGACAGCCCGTCCGACTCCGGAGGCCGCCGGAGACACGCGTATAGTAGGTTGCGCATATTGCGCATATTGGCGGAGAAACATAAAAACGCAGCTGATCCCGTCTCGACTTCCGGTGTTTTATGCATTTATTATTATGCCTCCATTTTTATACGGCCTGGCAAACCCATAAAACCTGGCAATGAAATCCGCCTCATTTCTTCTCGGTCTCCCCAGGGCAATCGGGTGACGCTCAGGGCAATTGCATTATCTCATCTCCGCCGACGCCGTAATTTTCAGGGAATGACTCGAATAAATATTTCCACGCGCGGGTTTTCATTGAATATTTCATAACGCTAATAGATGACATGAAAAATATTATATATAATCCAGGAGAATATTTAAATCTCCTCAAATCTGCAAAAAAATTTCGCAAACGTGATATTCCTCTCCTCTGAGCTTTTCCGCGAAAAAAAAGTGTCTCACGCGGCCATTACAGTCGCATGCGATGTCAATCGAATCACGACCTCGCAAATCCAATCGCCTCCACCCTGAAATCGAATCATCAGGTGATTTGATTACAGGAAAACAATACAAATCAAATCTCGGGAGATGGTGATTTAAAACTCATTCTAATCCAATTGCGATCATGATGGTCACCATGACAATGATCGAATTTTAGGTTTTGTTGGAGCCGTTATCATACAATATGTATTATATGGTAAGAATCCCACAGTATTTTAAAAAAATCACATGATTGAACCGTTAGGGAAATTAATGAAAGTAACAAATAATAAGGGAAATAACAAAAAATAATAAACGCCATGAAAAAATTTCAGAAAATAAAAAAATAATTAAAATAACGAAAATAATGTAAATATTATGGAAGATGTCCTTGAACCTTAATGCCCTTGAGACAATGTCTACTCGGGAAATTCCTTTTGAGGCCGAATTGCCCCGATAATTGCTAAAACGTTGAGTCTTCCCTGAAGCAATTTCGCGATAAGCTTCTTAACCAGAGGGATTTTCCTGCTTCAATCAAAATCGGATTTCAAATTCTCAGGTGGCTCAGAACTTAATTGTCAAATTTTATTACAAGGTTTAGCGGGTTGCTAGCGGGTGGGCGTGCATCATTTGCACAAATACATGTATCAGATGTATCAGATGCATCAGATGTATCAGACTTCATGAATTCGTGATGTCTCTGTGATTTCACGAATAATTTCTACATTGACTATGCGCTCTCCTGCTTACTTCAGGACATTTCAAGCGGTCGCCGGTATCTGGCATCCCTGCGACCGACGCCTGTTCGCGGGACTAATTGCTGTCGCGCAAAATGAGCGATGGGTCCTGACGGCCGGCTTTGTGACACATGGGTGATCGAGAGATTCCCTCATTTGGGAACAAATGAAATCCCTATCTGTCCTGACCCGGGTTAGGACCCGAGTCTTCGATAGGGAATCCCATCATTGTTTGCCATGACAGCCACAACTGAATGCCCCAGTATTGCCCACAGGAAAATTTCTTCGCGAAGCTTAAATGCGCACTAGTAAATATTTTCTGGAATGCTACAATCATCCGCTAGAATGATTAGTACTAATAATAATGATGATCATGGTAATAATTATATTGATAATTATAATGATGGCAATAATAAAAGGATGGGAGAACTGGACCTGGATGGAGACGGAGCTATAGGAGCCACCGATGACCCCCATGACCGGCATGTGAGCGTACTTCCGCCGCGGCTCCCTGCCGTCCGAGCACTCGAACCCGGACGTGTCGATGGTGTTGATGGAGGCGCGGATGAACTCGAGGCTCTGATTGAGGGCGTAGGAGTCCCTGGAGCAGGTGTCGAGGATGTTCACGCCGAGGCGGATGTGCGGGAGGAGGACGGGGTCGGCGTTGATGCGGTCGATGGCGAAGAGCATGGCCTCGAGACGCTGGAGGCCTCGGTCGTAGAACGCGGGGCTGCAGGGGGCGTGCTCGCCCTTCTCGTGGATGGGGAAGAGGCCGCCGAGCACGATCTCGCCTGGGAGCTTCACGCTTCTGCTGACCGAGGCGCTGGCGGTCGCGACGAGGCAGCCGAGGAGGGTCGCCAAGACGTCCATCGCTTAGGAACTGCGTTCCGCGCCCGTCGGTTCGTGGACCGGCTCGGGCTCGATTGACAGCGCCTGTCGGAGCATTTTCTGCAAAAGAAATCGACAGACGTGTCTTTGAGGGGCAGTTATGCACATTATGCGTGAAAAGGGGCCGTCACCTGACTATTTCCCTGCCTAGTTCCCTGACTCGTTCCCTGACTCGTTCCGAACCATTAGAGACGGTTACGGTCCATATAGTGAATGATTAGACCATCTCGATTCAAAATGGGGAGCCATGTCGCGGGGGATGGGCAGTGCCATCATCGATAATGGCTGTCAGGGAGTCTCTTCTCTCTGATGACGTCAAGGCGGCTCGGAAATACCGGCGAAGTGATTCCGAGCATCCGGAATTTACTCCGTTACTTTTTTTTCGAATCTCGCGTCCGGGGAAATGTGCAACATCGATGATAGGATTGCTGACGTCATCGTCCCTGCACCTACGATCTGTGTAATCCCGTAATCTTCCTAGCCGGGACACTTTTCTTCTCCCTCCGTCTCCCTCCCTCCCCCTCCCCCTCCCTCCATTTCTTTTAGCCTTTGTCCATATATGGATTCCATGCACATTCCCCGAGACGATTCCAATCTCCCAGATTGGGTCTCAACCCGTGATGGAGTGCCTGCAGACGTTCCAGCATAAGTGGCACGATCGAGGTATGATGGATGGCATGCCATCGAATCGAAATGCATTCAAGGTGCCTCGAGCACGATGGCAAAGGGCGAGTTTCCCACGCTCTTACGAAGGTTAATTAATCGACGCAAACTAATGAGGTTTCACCTTCGCCAACCCGTCCCCCCCTCCCCCCCCCCATTCCACTCTAGTGCACTCTGGCAGACAAAAAATGTTTTAATCACTTCATATTTCTTCAGTGTCTGGGAGGGAGGGACAGCACAAGAAGACCAGAGAGACCAGGTGGTAATAGCAATTGCGAGCTAGAGAGAGAGAGAGAGAGAGAGAGACTGGCGCTTGAATATTGAATATTACGGGAGAAAAAAAAAAGAGAAAATGGAATCCGTCGCGTCCCAGGAGAAAAGACGGGGGGCTTTTTCTGCTTTTCTCCATCACATATGAATACTTTAAAGGTATATTAATAAATACGCATGCAACGTTTAAAACATAACCAATATATAATTCGCTAGGTTTATAGTTAATTAAATATAAGATAAATAATTCCAATACTCATTTGTATTCAAGGTTCACGGATTATCTCGTCAAGGATTGCCGGGGAACTCCAGCCTCTTGGGTCGATGAGCCAGTGATAAACCGAATAACGATGTGTCAGACGATATATATAATATAATATGATACAAAGATGAGGGAGGGGATCGTCCCTCTTCCCCCATTAACGAATGCAGACGAACGCAGCATCCCCCCGGGAGTCATCATTCCATAATGGCTCTTGCCTCTCTCGTATTGCTCGAAGTGCTATGAAGAACGTTTTCCTTGCCTCTTTGGTTCTGTGGGACATTTATCTCTGGGACATTTATCGGTGGGTTGCTGCCGTGCATCGTTTAAGCGAAATGGGGGATAATTAGCCTTGGTATTGAAGCGCCCCCATTTTCCGAATTTTTGGGGGTTGTCTTTAAGTTTTGAGGGTTTTTACAGACACTTGAGGGCATTGGAGGGGATTTGAGGACATTTGAGGACATTTGAGGACGTTTGAGGACATATAAAAGCCTCTGGTTTGCTCTCATGAGGGACCGCGCACTTTCATCAAGGGGTCTTTCAAGACCGAAAAACAATCTCCAATCGAGACCAGGGCAATTACAGGCTGGAGAAAAGAAAAGGCTTGAGAACGAGGCAGATGGTCATCAATCGAGCGACGGCGAGCGGGCGACGACGGTGACGATGGCCCTGACATGCACCGAAAAAGGGTGACAAATTCATTACAAGTCCCTCTTCCCTCATCCATACTTGTCCCCAACTTCCTTCTATCTCTTTCTCGAGATGTCCGTTTCTTTTATTGATCTCTCGCTGATCACTGTGTTGGGCGATGGGACAGTGCTGTCCGATGACCCGACTACTTTCCTGCGCAACAAAAAAAATGGTTACTGAAGGCTAAATTGGTTACTGTATATATATATAAACGATGACTGCAGAAATATTTTTCAGAGCGGTAATTTCTCTTCTTCCATTTAATGTGCTACTTGACACTCGTGCCAGGAACTCGAGCCAGGAACGGAAAGAAAATTAATAAGCGTTTGGCCATCCAGTGCATGTACCAGTGATCATTTGTCTCTCGAGACAGGAAACATCTCTTACGTTGTTTCTTGTAAGTGGATGAGCAATCTACGATGGAAACGGATAATTGCCAAAGTAAGTTAGATGAAGCAGGCGTTGCCGGCTTGCAATCGGACAACACTGCGGCCGACATCCCCACGCAGCCCTATCTGCACCGGTACCAGCGCGGATATGCATGACAGGGCACAAGAAATACGAGGGATGTCAGAAGGAGGGATGTCAGGAGGAAGGAGAAGCGCTATTGCCTCGCCTAAGGAGAGATCAGGTGAAGGGATGCCCTGCGCCCTTCAGATAAGGGCGAGGGAATGCCTGGGATTATAGGTATTGCGCCGGCGATCCTTGGGTCTATTTCCTGCTCTGGGGAATAAAGTAATTTCGAGGAACGACTCATCCTGAAGCCAATGGCGAGCGGCTGGAGTCTGCTTCCATCGTATTAATCCTGTATTAATCCTATATTAATCCTGCATCAATCCTGCTTCGACGAAACGAGATTACACAAAAACGCTCGAACGTCCTTCCAGGCGTCGATGCAGGCGAAGATGCATCGATTACCGAGGGTGCATGCCTCGAGTGAATTACTGGACATGCACGCGGTCTGCTGAGGTTTGCCGACTGTCACGGCCCAAGTGATTCATTTCAGGGCGATTTTACGACCGGGCGAATCCTCCGCCCTTACCTGGAAACATCTCGACCTTTCATTCTTGAGATGCCCTTTCCCGCTCCTTTGGCATTTCCATTGCGTGCCAAAAATATCATAGTAAGAGTCTTAAATTATCCAAGAACCTTTTGGTTCATGGGGTTCGACTCCCGCCTTCAAGAATAATTTTCTCTTTCTATACCACCATCAATTTGAAAATAATTACCACTTAATTACCCCAACTGAGTCTTTAAAAAAAAAAAGTTATTTAGCGATCACGAATAATCAGCTTCGCTTTGGACGATCGGATATTTATAAAATACCACTTCATGAAATAATAGATGGAACTCGATGAGCATAAATACTTTGTAAGATAATGTGGCATACCAATAAGCAACTTTTTATGGGACTGCGAGAGATTATAAGCCTTGGAGAAGGTGGAAGTAACTCGAAGATGGAAGAAAGTCGAAGGCGATGGCAAATCGAAGGCATAAATGCATTAGCTCGGGGAGCGAGGCCTTTTTATGGGAATCCAATGTAGCCGGCATTCATGCATGGTGACTTCGCGTGGGTATCGATTCCCTCTCATTCGGCACATCTTTTCCCTCTGCCAATTGCCGCAAAACAGCCAATTCCTAACAATTCACACTCTTCACCCTCAACTCATTTTAATCGAAATTCTTGAACCACTTTCTCGAACCCAAATCGCGACCACCTGCACAATGCACCTCAACTTGTGCCAAATGTCCTCACCATTAAATGTCCTCACAATTAAACGCCCTCACCATTAAACGTTCTCACCATTAAACGTTCTCATCATTAAATGTCCTCACCATTAAACGTCCTCGCCATCCAAAAAACGCCTCGAAGCTTCGGAATTCCGCGTGAAAACGCTCCAATCGATGAAGGCACTCATCTATGCAAACAAGATAGCAGCCCTACTCGAAGGAGCGGTGCAAAGCCCCTTGCTATTTTCAGATTCCATTTCTGGCATCCCTGTCACTCTCCATGATGACGTCACTGCGATGTGCCCCCAGTTGTCCTTGATCAAGTACTCAAGTACCTTAACACGCTTTCGGTATCACATCTCGGTGAAGATCACCAAATAATTTAATTGTAAGTATTATTACTACTAATTATTAAATATTAAATATTATAAATCTGCGATTCGGCATTAATTTCATATCGGCGAAGCACCGCCTCCAGGGATCAAGAAAATTAGTGGATTAGATTTCGCTTAATAATTAAAACTGAATTATGATTTTATAATGTTTATTATAAATTTTCGTTTATCGTGGTGGACTATATGCAAAGCCGCCGGTCGTGATTGGAGCGGTATTCCTTCTCGTTAATTTGAATTTAATTTGGGATGAGAGCGATATGAGATGAATTTAATTTCTTATTTGTGTGGGGTAAGATGAATTTAATTTACGAATTTCTCGAGATCATCGCCTTCGGAAGCGGGAGCGATGGGGGGCTGGAGGCGGCGACAGTGGCGGATGCAGAAATTATTCATGGGGGGCGTTTCCTCCCGCCCCCCTCGCCCCCCACCCCCCTCCAACTATCACCCTCTGTTATATTGCCTTTTTCATTTTTCATACGCTGGTGGAGATCCGAATCACAGGCCGCAACTGAAACATGTAATTTTTTATATTAAAAATTAAATTGTGCATGGGAGGGGAGGGGCGGTCGCCGCCCCGCTCCTCCCCTCGATCCGCCTCTGGGGGGCGATGGAGGAATAAAGTGGCAGCAATATCTTCGCCCAATAACCATAATTCATTGATTATAAGCAATGTATTTTTTTAAAAAAAAATACTAAAAAAATTTGCTTTTCTAAAGCAAAAATATTTATCTTTGCACCGCTTTAAAAAAGGATACATATATATATGTTATTTTTTGAAGTGATGCCTTCTTAGCTCAGTCGGTTAGAGCACATGACTGTTAATCATGGGGTCTTAGGTTCAAGTCCTAAAGAGGGCGCAAATATTTGTCTATTTGTGTTTATTGGTATCTATTTATTTTTATTAAGTATAAGTTAAAAGTCTGATTATCAAATATTTGTGCAATATAAATCTTGATAATCAAATAGTTATAAATCTTTTTTACTTTATCGTTTTTAGTACAAATTTAGTACAAGGGACTGTATTTAGTACAAGGATTTTTTTAGTACATAAAATTGGAGTTGGTTATAAAAAATTATTTTTTAACCATGTTCAATTTTAAAAGATGATTAGTCTTAATCTTATTAGGTTTTCAGTCATTTTAGATTCTGAACGCAGAAGAAATTGTATGCGTAAAGATGGAAAAACAAGCGTCTT